TCCGTAGGCCCTCACCCCCCTCCACCATCTGTCCAAGGGTCAGGCACATATGCAAACAACTTCATGGGTTGGTCTCTTTCACTTTTCTTTCAAGTGTGAATGAAGGGCCTCTGTTTTGCTGGAGAAGCCACCTTGGCCCATCCCCAGCCCTACCTGTGAGATCTGAAAACGAGGGAGGGGAAACAAGGAATTCTGAGTGACTGAACAGTAAGCCTCAACAAGCCCTTTCCTGGCCATCTTCTGTAAAATTGCCACCCTCCTCAGACCCTCGATTACCCTTTAAGGGCAGTGCTTCTCTCTCTCGGCGGCACTTATTGTCCAATATGCCCTCTCACTTATTTACTTATCGCGTTCCTTATTTATTGCCTGGTTCACGTCTCTAGAACTTTCTGCTCCTCCAAGGCTGGGATCTCTGCCTGTTTAGTTCCCTGCTGTGTCCTTAGTGCCCAGAGCAGCACCCAGCGCAGAGCAGGTGCTCAGTGAATAAGTGTGGGATGAAAAGGAGCCTGCCGACTCGTGGCCCTTTAAAACACTCCCTCCAGCGACACAGTCCTGGCTTTGACTCCCGGCACCACCATGGTGAGATGAGAGATGATCCCTATATGCTCCGCTTCCTCAGCAGTGCAAAGCCAGAGCGACAATCCCGTCTCTCCTTGCAATGAGTCTGAGACCACAGGGTTTGTAGCATTGTTCAGGGCATCTTTCAAACTATTATCTGAGAGCTCACGGGTCAGTCTCCACTTTCATAGATGGGGCTCCCAGGGCCCAAACCAGCTGCCCAAGGACACACTGCCCTCGTAGGTGGAGGCACCAACATTCAAACGTGGGCCTGTCTGATTCCAGAGCTCAGTGCGGTTGTCCCTGCAGGTACCAGAAGGGCTGTTTTGAGCACAGAATTTCTGCTCCACGTCATGGGATGTGTGTCAGGGAGTGACTTTCTTGTCCTTGGAGGCCTGTGAGTAGAGGGTGGATGGTTGTGGTAGGAGAGACGCCTACACTGAGTGCATCTTTAAGATACCTGAGAAGGTCTGACCTATTCCCGTTGGCCATTTACAGGTCATTTTGAAGGGATGTTTCTCATTGTGAGGAGTTAGAACATTCTTCACTTAATTGATTTTTGCAGAATTAAACTTACAGCAAACTTCCAAGACATTTAGATGGCCCTTGTCAATTTCTCTGGCCCCATTGCTGTGGGTGAGTATTTTCAGGGGCACAGCCATTCATTTTTTTCTCTTCTTGCAAGGATCACTGTTTGCAGATCACCCCAAGTGCCACTAGATGGCGGATAAATCAGGACTCTGCTCTCTGTGGACCCCACCTTCTTGTCTCTGAGTTGGTGTTTGAGGCTCCCCAGGCTGAACTATGTTTATCTCTCAACCAATTAACTCTCAATAAGCAGGGAGACTGCATTGGACCATTTCCCTTAAAGCAGAGTCCCATGTTCCAAGTGAGTGAAAAACACCCTAGAAATACTCTAATATTGATACTGTATCTTTTTTTTTCTGAGGTAGAGGGTAATCGATGATAACCATTCACTATTTCTACTGAAGTCTCATAATTCCAATTAAAATGGCCCATTATTTCAGACTTATGTTCCATTTAATGAATACAGATGTGTCCATGGGGCACAATGCCTGGGGCCCGCCATACTATTTAGAGGGCCTATAATATTGTTTAAATTTCTTTTAAGATCAGAAGAAATCAATGCAGTTTTAGGATTGAAGCGTGCACTCATCTTTACACCAATGCAGCCCTAAAGCATGAAAATTTAAAAAGCAAAGAAAAATGTAGATAATGACAGTGTTACAAGCTTTGCCTTTCTCGGGTATTTGAACTGTAGCAGACACTGTAGTAAATACTTGGCCCTCACCCCCTTGGCTTTTATTATGTCCTTGAATTCTCTGCACATGGTGGCAAATTGGAAGTGCTGGGAGATTACTGTTTCCTGGTAGGAGCTGTCAAGCAATGGCAAAATGGAGTTGATGGGTAAACACCCCAGTTTCCTCACTGTCCCTTAGGGTTCCTCAGGTGGGATTAAAGTCTAGTTGCCAGTGGTAATTTCCTTGACAACGTGCCTTTATTATGTCTCTCCCTCCCCCAGTCTCCCGCCTATGTTTTGCAGGATGATGGTCTAGATCAGTGGTTCTCAACCAGTGGATCACGACCCCTTTGGGGGTTGAACGACCCTTTCACAGAGGTCTCCTCAGACCATCAGAAAACACATATATAATTACCTATTGGTTTTGTGATTAATCACTATGCTTTAATTATGTGCAATTTGTAATGTGCTGGCAGCCAGGGGAAGGAAGGCCCATTCTTGTCCGAATCTTCGTGCATCGGGCCTCCAGTGCCTGAATAATATTCCACTGCATACATCACCACATCCCCGCTATCCACTTACCTGTTGAAAAGCGCTTAGGCTGTTCCCACATCTATGATTTCCTTGTCATTAAAGAGACACTTGTTACCTGGGTGATATTAGGAGAACAAGTGACATCATTTCTTCTTTCCCATCACCATTTGCCCCCCATCCCATCTTCCACCTCCACCGGGCCCTCCCCCCATCACCACCCTATTGTCTGTGTGACACCATTTCTGAGTCTCTCTTTTCCTTTTTGTAAAACAAGGACGTGTAGCTGACCCTCAGTAACTAGCTCTATTGCATTTACTCAGCCCTCTCTCCTCAGACTCCTAAGAAGCAGTGGGAAAATGCCACCTGGCTGGTGACAGAGTTTGTGCTGGTGGGTTTCTCCAACCTCCCACACCTGCAGACCACCCTCTTCACGCTGTTCTTCCTCATGTACCTGGTCACCCTCAGTGGCAATGCCACCATCATCACCATTATCCATGTGGATCGGACCCTTCACACCCCCATGTACCGCTTCCTGGCGGTGCTGTCCCTGTCGGAGACCTGCTACACGCTGGTCACCATCCCGAATATGCTGGCACATCTGCTCATGGAGAGCCAGGCCGTCTCCATTGCTGGCTGTCGGGCTCAGATGTTCTTCTTCCTGGGCCTGGGCTGCAGCCACTGCTTCCTCCTGACCCTGATGGGTTATGACCGCTACGTAGCCATCTGCCACCCGCTGCGGTACTCGGTGATCATGAGACCCACCGTCTGCCTCTGCCTGGGAGCCCTGGTTTTCTGTTTGGGGTTCTCGGTGGCCCTGATCGAGACCAGCATGATCTTCTCCTCGCCCTTCTGCAACAGCGACCGCGTGGAGCACTTTTTCTGCGACATTGCCCCTGTTTTGAAGTTGAGCTGCGCCCAGAGCACAGGCAAAGCGCTGGGCATCTTCTTCCTCAGCGTCCTGGTGGTGCTGTTCTCCTTCCTCCTCATCCTCCTCTCCTACGCCTTCATCGTGGCTGCCATCGTGAGGATCCCTGCGGCCGCTGGCCGGCGCAAGGCCTTCTCCACCTGCGCGGCCCACCTCACCGTGGTCATCGTGCATTTTGGCTGCGCCTCCATCATCTACCTGCGCCCCGAGTCCGCAGGAAACCCTGCCCAGGACCGCCTGGTGGCTGTCTTCTACACGGGTGACGCCG